AGAGGTGAACGGCATAGTCGGGAAGGGTCGCCTTAGGCGAAAGTTTATCGACCAAATTGGCGATATATTAAAAATGGGCCAAATCAAGAGTACCTTTAACCGACGAGCGTGTATGCATAGGTATATGGATGTGGAGGAAGCGAGAGAGGTGTGTCAGGATCGTGCCAAATGGAAGTCCATAATCTCTGCCTACCCCTCTGGGTGACAGGCGTGAGTGTTTATGTTTATGTTTTATGTATGGACGCAAAACAATGTCCTTTCGCACTTATACACGTACATTTATCGTGTACGGTTTTAAAAAAAAAACACGCTTCGGGATACTTTTTGGGGCGCGCGAGGGTGACGCTCAACCAAGAGGGGAAGGGAGAGTGGATAAAACGAAACCTCGCTCTATAACGTACATATGCCGATAGATAAAAGTATTGCATTAATTTTGACAATTTATTAGCCATAATGATTGAGCTCATCTTGCTCACAGAACAATTCATATGGTTTCTCTCGGTTCTCATCGAGCGGCTAGGGTTTATGCGTCGTTCGTGCGTCAACTAAGTGCTGAATTATTTTAATTTTACATTATCTCTTAAACTATGCGTCCAAATAACATTCTAAAACGAAAAATTATCTTTCTAAAATTACTTTTTAAAAAGAGAATTTGTCACAAAATACAGTATTGTGGCTTATTTATATATAGCCATATGGTAACCCAGACTTTTTTTTAAATGGAGTACAGATCTACTGTTTTAAAATATTGTATCTACGTATCTCTAACCATTGCAGCAGCGCATGTGGATAAATCATTTCGGGAGCGCATTTTCTTCTGATTCTGCCAATGAAAATCAATATTTAAGGCTAGCTAAGACATGTAGCCTTATGCTAGATAGCCTATACTATTCCTCATGAATCTGGCTATAATATATAAAGAACTTTTCAAATCGGACTGGTAGTTCCTGAGATTAGCGTGTTTAAACAAACAAAAAAAACGAAAAACAAAAAACTCTTTCATTTTATTATATCTCAGTGGTACCTCGTTTAGAGCCGGGGCGGCATCAGAGGCAGCTGAACTGAGTAAGTAGCGCAAATATTAGTCTCTGAAAGATGACTACATATTTGTGCTATTTGCTGTAGAGACTATCAGTCCGTGGCATCCACGTGCGGTGAAGTTCCTAAAGGAACTCTATCCGTGGCTGGTCGTTGCTGCTGGTGATAAGAGGGCTGGTTCTTTTCTCACTCAAATGCCATTAACGGGGAAACGCAGCCAGCGTTCTTGGCACGATACCGCGGGGAGTAGGACTATGTGATAATTAAGTTTCTAGTTTTAGTTTTTTTATTAATATAATGTTTATTATATTAGTATATATTAAAACACGGTTACATATAGGTAAAACAAGGTAAAAATTTTACTGAAAATAACAAGAACATGATTGTTATCGAAGTACCAAGTTGAAAATAAAATTTAAATTATAATTATAAAAGAACTTTCTGATGATTTTGAGATGTAGATTGCTTCAAATAAAACGCCAAATAGACTATGACTAGTGGATGTTTTAACCTATAGATCCTACCTTAAAGGTTTTTAGAAGATGATTTCATCGTTTCGTTTTCAGATAATCCTATAATATTCCAGCGCAACATATCTATCTCTTCTTCCAGCTCCAGGATCTTCTCATCAGTCTTCTGAGAGCGTGCGTTGTATATTGCCAGGTTGAGTCGTCTTAGGTGGCAACTGAACCTCCACCGAAAATTCTTGGCACTTCCTGCCCCACCGTTACCATGGTCGCCACTGTAGCCAGGAATAGCGGGCCTGCCGGAGATTGGGGGCCGTTTATTTGTGTCGTTGCTCATGGGGGGTATATTGCCATAGTTGCCACGCTTGGCGAGCGGGTTGGCAACCGCAATTTTTTATTGTTGTTTTACTGTTATCAGAAAGATGCTGCTGCCCATCTTTTGCTTCAGTTTCTCTCTGTCGCCTTTTACGACACTCGTGGGAAGATATGGTAGTCGATGGATGCAGGTGGCTCAGAACCGTGTTTTGTGGCATTCTTTGGGGGAGGCCTACGTTCAGCAGTAGACTTGTGAGGTGCTGTTAAATGATGAGAGTATTTAAATTTACCATTTAGCGACAGCGTAAGATAATTGGAGAGCCCATCTGACCTATGAATTATGAAACTTCAGGAAAATCTCATAGTCATCTATTTAATAACTGGCATATAATTTGTTGTGTTCATAGTGAAATACCCAAACTGATTGTCACCAGTGAACTAATTTATGTTCGACAATAATTTATAATTAAACATTTTGTACAGCAGACTTCAATATAAGTTATTAAGAATAACTCAAAAACTATTGGTCTGACCTTGATTAAATTCATATGGGAGCTGGATTCAGCTTTCAAATAAAAAAGAATCATCGATATAGGTTCACCCAGTAAAAAGTTATGAGGTAACACACATAAAAAAACATACAGTCGAATTGACTAGGTACTGTCTCCTTTTTGGAAGTCGGCAGAAAATATATTTTATTCTTTGTATTCCCGACAATACTTTAAACATTTGAATCAGTTTTTGGTACCAACTTTTGAACACAAACAAGTCTAATAGTTTAAAATAAATGTGTTTTGCTCTCGTTATAATGGAAATTTCACATAAAACAAATACGAGGGGCACACTAAAATTATCGGGAATAAGAAAAACCACATGCACGGTATAGCTAAATTGCATTTTATGGTTTTTCGAAGTTTTCTCCGTTCAACTTAATGCACTTTTCCATTCGTGCAAACAAATTATTAAGACAGTAATTCCAGTCTGAAGTTGATGTCGACAAAATGGCTTCGGGGTCTTCAAACCGTTGACCGCGTAATAAATCTTTCATTTCAGGGAATGTAAAGAAATCGCTTGGGCTCAGGTCAGGACTGTACGGAGGATGGCTCATCAGCTCAACGTTTTCCTGCTTCAAAAATCATTTGTCTTCTGAGCCGTATGGGAGCTCGCCTAATCGTGATGTAAGATGATGCGACGTTTCGGGTTATTTTTTCGGAGTTCGGCTATCATTTCTTGCAAACAAACCGTGATATACCACTCAGCGGTAACCGTTCTACGTTCCTATAAAGGAATTGTTCACGCGTGAGCTCCATTTCTGTTAACGACGTGTCAACTTTAAACCAACATAGTTTTTGTTTTTAAACATTTCTTTTAATTTTTTGAATGTCATTAAGAATCTAAGAGGCCAGTATTCAAATTCTACAATAGGTTTTATTGTAACTTAATCCGAAATATTCTATTCCCGATCATTTCAGTGTGCCCCTTGTAAGAGTATAAACTGATCATTACTGGAAATAGAAAACCTGCTGCCATGATAGGATTTTGTCCATTTTTACTTCAAATTACGGTAAAGTAACAAATTCAAACACAACTTATATCACACCACGACATTATGACAAAATGTGTGTGTCAAGAAAAAAAAAATTTCAAGAAAAACTCTCAACTTAGAGAGGCTTCTTGCTAGCAGCGAACTGCTTATGTTATAATGATTGCTGGTTATTAAGGCACCATAAGGCTCTCTCAGGATTCGTCGAGATTGGTACTACCTAGATGTTCACTATTCAAAAAATGACTGTCTTATATTATCTAACCTAAAACGAGTTGCTAATTCTACTATCACTCTAATGTCAAAAAATATTAATGTTTACGAAATAAACAGTAAAAATAAAATACTATCATCATCAATTCCTTATAGGATCATGGTTGAATATACATCTTCCCCAATATATGTCACAAGAAAGGATCGTCTGCCACAAACCAACATTTAGTAAGATTTTTGAAAAAATTGTTCTTGATCAAATGTTAATTTTTTTTAATATAAATAATTTACTTCATAAAAATCAATTTGGTTTCACAAGGGGTCGCTCGACTAGGAAGGACTGGGTGGCGGACCTTAACGGCTCAGTGGCAATCATTTCTTCGGCCGCCGCCGGTACCCCGACCCTTGAAGGTGTCAGGAGGGATCAGGGGTGCGTAGCAGCACGGTTCGGGGAGTTCGTCGTTGTGGGGGTGTACTTCTCCCCGAACCGATCTCTCGCCGAGCTCCACAATTCTCTTGCAGAGCTGAGAGCAGTCGTCATCGGAAGCTATCCCCTCCCCGTGCTTGTCCTCGGGGACTTTAATGCCAAGAACTTGGCTTGGGGTTCTCGTCGTACAGATGTGCGGGGTAGGATGGTGGAAGACTGGGCTCTGGAGACAGGCCTGGTCGTCCTAAATCGGGGTTCTGTCCCCACGTGTGTGCGGATGCGGGGCGAGTCGGTGGTGGACATTTCGTTCGCTAGCCCCGCTCTGTCGCCGCGTGCCATTGACTGGCGAGTCATGGAGGGGGTGGAGACCTACTCCGACCACCGGTACATCCGGTTTGACGTCTTCACCCTGTCCTTGAGCGCGCCAGTCCAACAGGCCCCGAGTGGTCCGCGTTGGGCGCTGAAGCAGCTGGACCGGGAGCTCCTCCTGGAAGCCTCGATCGTGCAGGCCTGGGTGTCATCACCGGATAGGCCTGCCGACGTCAATGATGAGGCAGGGTGGTTCCAGGAGGCCATGTCCGAGATATGTGACGTGGCCATGCCCCGCGTCCGGCCAGGAAGCGCCCGGCGTCAGGTGTATTGGTGGTCGCGTGAGCTGACGTCTCTGCGCGAGGCGTGTGTCGCCGCGCGGCACATGTACGCCAGGCATCGCAGGCTCCGCATTCGTCCACCGAATGCGGCAGCCATTGAGGCGGAGCTGTACGAGGGATACAGAGCTGCGAAGACCGCCCTCCGGGAGGCTGTCATGCGGGCCCGGGATCGGGCCCGTGAGGAGATGCTGGAGACTCTCGACAGAGATCCGTGGGGGCGCCCTTACAAGATGGTGCGGGATAAACTCCGCACCTGGGCCCCCCGCTGACGCAGAGTCTCCGGCCTCAGCTCTTGGAGGACGTGGTGAGCGCTCTGTTTCCTGCGCTAGGGGAACCCGCCCCCGCCTATGGCTCCGCCACCTGCGGTGCCGGAAGCGGACCACCAGGACGACGACGACGGCATCCCGGAAGGGACCGGGGTAGACCTGAGAGTGGCGGTACGTAGGCTCAAGGCCAGGAATACCGCCCCAGGACCCGATGGCTTGCCTGGCAAAGCCTGGGTCCTGGCCTCGGAGGCTCTCGGGCCCCGACTGGAGGGGCTCCTAAGCGCATGCTTGGAGAGAGGCCAATTCCCGCTTCGTTGGAAGACGGGGAAGCTGGTCCTCATTCGGAAGCCGGGGCGCCCTGCGGACTCTCCGTTCGCATACCGGCCCGTGGTGCTGCTCGACGAGGTGGGCAAGCTCTTTGAAAGAGTCATTGCAAACCGCCTCGCCGAGCACCTTGCGGGGACGGGGCCGGATCTTGCGGAACACCAGTTTGGTTTCCGCAAGAGGCGCTCTACGGTGGACGCCATCATGCGCGTGAGAGCCCTCACGACGGGGGATGCAGTGGCCAGGGGGGGGGGGGGGTTGTTTCGGCAGTGTCTCTCGACATCGCCAACGCCTTCAACTCCATGCCCTGGAGCTGTATTAGGGAGGCACTCCGGTATCACCGGGTGCCGACCTATCTCCGTCGTATAGTCGGGGACTATCTGACGGATAGGGCCGTCATCTACCCCGGTCGCAACGGTGGGTGGAACCGGCGAGAGATGACGTGTGGTGTCCCACAGGGTTCGGTTCTGGGGCCGCCCCTGTGGAACATCGGTTACGACTGGGTGCTGCGCGCCGACCTCCCTACCGGCGTCAACGTAGTTTGCTACGCTGACGACACGCTGGTACTGGCACAGGGGGGGTCGTACGAGGCGGCGGCGGAAACCATGACACGCGGGGTTGCGATAGTCGTTGAGAGGATCCGGCAGCTGGGTCTTGAGGTGGCTCTGCACAAGTCCGAGGCCATGCACTTCCATGGTCCTCGGAACAGGCCACCACCGGGATCCTCAGCGATGGTAGGAGGGGTATCCATCGGCGTCGAGTCGACGTTGAAGTACCTAGGACTCGTCCTCGACGGCCGATGGAACTTCGTTGAGCACTTCCGACGTTTGGCTCCCAAACTGGAACGGACCGGGGCTGCCTTCAGGCGGCTCCTGCCGAACCTGGGGGGGCCAAACGCCTCCTGCCGGAGGCTCTACGCGGGGATTTTGCGGTCCATGGCCCTCTACGGGGCCCCGGTGTGGGCGCGTGGTTTGACGCGGCTTGCCGTCCACCACCTGAACGCGCCCCAAAAGGTGGTTGCCGTGAGAATGGTTCGCGGCTACCGCACGATCTCTCGCGAGGCAGCGTGCCTCCTTGCCGGATTACCGCTGTGGGATCTGGAGGCGATAGTCCTCGCGCGCCTGCACGAATGGCGCGCGGAGGCACTATGTCGGGGGAAACCCCGCTACCGTGGCAAGTTGTCGTGCAGCGGACAGACTTCCGGCATGATCTCATGGCGACATGGAGACAGCGACTGTCGCAACCCCGTGCTGGGCACGCCACTATAGCGGCGATAAGACCCCTCTTTGAGGAGTGGCTTGAGAGACGCCACGGCGTCCTCACCTTCCGCCTGACGCAGGTCCTCACCGGACACGGTGTGTTCAGGAGGTTCCTGCACCGAATCGGGCGGGAGGAAACGCCCGGGTGCTCCCACTGCGAGGATCGACCGGAGGACACGGTGGTGCACACCGTGGAGGTGTGCCCTGCCTGGGCGGAGCACCGCCGTGTCCTCGTAGCGGCGATAGGCGGCGGCGACCTCTCGCGAAATCCGGCCCTGGTCGAAGCCATGGTCCGGAGCGAGACGGAATGGGAAGCCGTCACCACCTTCTGCGAAGCAGTGATGCTAGCGAAGGAGGTGGCGGAGCGGGAGAAGGAGAGAGCAGCAGCTTTTCTTCCCGGCCGCCGCGGGAGACGACCGGGGCGTCGGGGGCTACGTCGTGGCCCCCGGCCACCGTAGGCGCGGTCCTGTGGACGACGAGCAATGGGTAGCTCGCCGTCCGTCCGTCTAACGACGACAGGCAGTGTCGACGGCGCGTTTTGTTCCACGCGCGCCTCAAAGAGCTGTCAGCAGCGTGAAGGGGCCCGCAAGGGCCGACGCCTGCCGGGGCTGCGGGCTGTTAGAAAGAGATACCGCGGCTCCGGAACGTAAGGGCACTGAAGGAACACGGATGGTTTTTAGTCAGTAAAAGTCTGACACTCCCTTCCGCTCCATCCAGAGCGAAAGGCGTCATTTGATGATTTTCCATCCGCAAAAAAAAAGGGGTCGCTCGACAACTGATGCCGGTGTTGAGCTGATTAAATATATCTTTAATGCATGGGAGAATTCACAGGATGCTTTGGGTATATTTTGTGACCTATCCAATGCCTTCGATTGTGTTCACCATGAAACATTAATCAGGAAACTTCAACACTACGGTGTAAGAAGTGATGCCCTTAAATTAATTATTTCATATTTAAGTAAGAGAACGCAAAAAGTTGTCATTAACAATATGAGCTCTTCCGGATCGATGGTACAAATGGGCGTGCCTCAAGGCTCAATTCTCGGCCCCTTTCTGTTTCTTGTATACATTAATGACTTACCTTACATAGTAGAGGATAACCATGATATAGTATTATTTGCAGATGACACTTCTTTAATTTTCAAATTAAGTCGACAGTTACTAAAATATGACGAAGTAAATAATGCTATATCTAAATTAGTAAATTGGTTCGATGTTAATAATTTGCATTTAAATGGCAAAAAACAAAATGTATGAAATTCGTGACTCCAAATGTCAAACAATTAAATACTAATGTAATTTTAAATGGGGAGAAACTGAGTCTTGTAGATACCACCATTTTTCTTGGAATCACTCTAGACGCAAAGCTTCAATGGAGCCCCAATATATCAAAACTAGCAAGCAGACTTAGTTCTGCAGCATATGCTGTAAAAAAGATTAGAAGTCTAAACAGTGTTGAAACAGCTAGACTAGTTTACTTCAGCTACTTCCATGGCATAATGTCGTATGGTATTTTGCTATGGGGACACGCAGCTGACACTGAAATTATATTTGTTTTGCAGAAGAGGGCCAAAAGAGCAATTTATGATTTAAAGCCTAAAGAGTCGCTGCGACAAAAATTTAAGGAAATTAATATATTAACTTTGGCCTCTCTAGCTATGTCTAATTTGTTGTGTTGTTAATTTGTGTAACATCATGATTGCAAGCTGTTATTTAAAAAAAAGTCCCGCTGGGTTTCTTGTTGGTTCTTCCCAGGACAGAGGTTTTTTCCGAACCAGTGGTAATCAAACAAAAGAGTGACTTTCAATAAGTATTATTTATAATCTATATTGAATAAAAAAGTTTCTGTTTCTGTTTCTGTTCCTGCATCTACTGACTTATAACAACTCACTTACCACTGGTTACAGACCTCCTTTCTTTTATATAACAGGATTATATAGATGATGTACATGGTCATGTATACGAAACTCATGGAATTTTCCCACGATTTTTTTCAGTACTTGCCAAAATCGTTATAAATCAGTATAAAGTAATTGTGATTAATCATTTTATAAGTACTGACGTAAGTCGAACTCAAGATATTATATTCTTCGGATAAGACAAATGTAAAGCCCAATTTTGAAAATTTATTAAATTAAAATGTGAATCTATGCTTGTTTGTTAAAATTTTGTTAAAAAACAATATTGATTTATAATAGTTATGCGAAGACTACACATAAATGCAACTAATTTTGACGGATTTTGTCGCATTTAATTTAAAGCGCGATAAAATCCGTTAAAATTAGTTTCATCATATTTGATACTAGTAGGGTACTGATAGAAAAGTAACATAGTTCATGTGATGGTAAAAATAGATGTGGTGGCCCAAAACCATTACAAATCAAAATACAGATGCGTTGTGACCCAATTTTTTAAGAAACTAAAGTGACAAGCAAACTTACAGTCCATTTGATGATAAGGGGCTACTACAGTCCATGGACACCCACAGCAACTTCAGACAAAGAAGGCTACAGATGCGTTGTCACCTCCAATAACCAAGATGGAATGCCTCACAGCCTGTATTATACTGGCCCCCCTTTTTTTTTTTTACATGGGGAAATGCCTACGCATACCCGCCTCGCGGGGGCAAGGACGGGTTATGTCGGACTCGCACCGACTAAAACCCCATGGTGTTCCACCCTCGTCGCATATTGGCAGGGCCACGGGAACGCTTTCGCACACATCCGCGGCCCCACCTGCGCTGGCCGCCCCATGGCGGCCCCTCCTCGGGAGAGGACTACTCCTCCCCCATCTCCCTCTCAGGTAAGGCGCACCAGAACACATGGCGCGCCCTCCTCCTCGGCCTCCAACTTAACATGCGCAACGGACGCCCCCGTGTCCGATGCGCGAAGGCCATGGGGCCAGGAAAAACTAGCACTCAGAAGCACTGGCCCTCCTGGCCCCAGCGGCGGATCTGGTCTATGGCTCCGCCGCCAACCAAGATTCGGCTGCGGAGGGTAGGGAGAGCGGCGCCTCGCAATACCGACACTCCTCTCCCACCGCAGCCCCACCACCACCGCATCAATCGACGGTGCGGCCCCGCCTGAGTCGCGGTGGATAGGGCGAGTGGCGCATCGCCATACCAACACTCCTCTTCCTCCGCGACACCACCTCGGCTGCAGCGGTAGAGGGTGCGGACTCCCCTCTCACCGCAGCCCCCCGACACACATCCGAAGTGGGCTCGCCAAGCCCACTCGGAGTGGCCACCTCGGGCCGGCCCTACACCACGGGCCAGCCAAGGGGTTCCTCTTTGTTCACCGTGGGTGACCAAGCCACGGCTACTAAGCCCCCCCGCCACGACAAGGCGGGAACCCGTTCGGGGGGGATACTGGCCCCCTATACTCTGCAAATTTGAACACAGCAGTGCAAGCGCTGCTATTGGGTGGCAGAAATAGCTAAGACACACGCATCTAGACAGATTCCATCCTAAGCCTAAAACAGTCCTACCACAAATTCACTCTATTACGGTTTATTTCATTCATTTTTATAATAATCGTCAGTAGCCTAATGACAGGGCGCGGAACGCGAACTCGAAAGGTCGTGGGTTCGAATCCGCCAGTCGACTTCTGTCGTGAACCACATCTAACACAAACATTTAAGCTTACCAGAAGTGGTTAAAGGGAATATTAGTAATGTTTAATAGCATTACTAGTATTTAAAAAAAATACTCCCAACGTATACGTTTAAAATCTAAAACGTTCTCATTCATAAGTTTGAGCATTTTGTGAAAAGATACGGCAGCGAAAATAAGCGAAAAGTTTTCCAACACATTATATTTTACTGTATGTTGGGAAAACACTTTATGATTGCATACGTCACTGGAAACCGTATACTAATATTTTTTGTTAAGCCATAATGTGTAAACCCACTGTTAAATTGTATGAAAACCCTTTAATGAAATAAGTAATATCAGTTTATTGCATATGAATTAAAACATTTTTGATTTTATCATATAATACATTATAGGTAATATATAACTTTTTCCTTGGAAGTATCATCCTATACTAGCGATCAGCGTCACCTACCGGGTTTAATTTTAAATTTAAACCATCCAGGGACTCACTCCAACACACACAAAAAATCATTAATATCATCACGTTGAAGTCCGGTCCACTGAACTCCTCCAAAAGTGGTTTCGGAGCATTTCATTGACAGATAATATATAAAAAGATTTCGAAGTATCCGGACTACCAACAATTATTTGCGGTGGTAGGAATCCCTTTCTGTCGGGGAATGCGTCTGGGTAGGTACTACTCTCTTACCTATTTCTGTCACCAAACAGCACTGCTGCATTGCTGTGTCCGTGTCTGAAAGGTATAGATAGTCTGTCCATATACAGACTGCAATCCATCTAACATGACAAAGTATCTGTAGCTTTAATTGCGTTAAGTTGGCTGCAGGTGTCCTTGAACTGTAGAACCACTTATCATCAAGTGAACTGTAAGTTTGTTTTTTACTCCGATTTTATAAAAGAAAGTCCAGGCAACTGTTTTATATGGGATAGCTCAGTTGTGTCCTTGAATCTACTCAACCAATTGAAATAAAACTTGGATATTGTTATGTTCGCGGATACGGAGCGCAGGGGACTAGTTAAACACTCAACGGCTGTCGATGTACTGCTTTAATTGCATACATTATTATTGGGTGCGGACGCAGCCGTGCACAGGTATAATACACAACATTCCTCCCCCTATAGTGAGGGTTTTATAATATGTAATACCTTATATAAAAAAACTAACATATTAAATATATTTAAAACATACTAAAAAAACTTTTTATAGTCAACCTTAGGGCGATTTCGTTTTAATGGCGCTTGATACTCTTGTGCCCGTGATACCTCTTCTTCATCATCCGACGACTTTGGACGCCGAACTCCTTGCGTTACTGTTATATGTGAGGGTGATCGTGATTGGCGGCAAGAGTCATTAGAATTCGTCAAGTTCTCATTAGAAGTCTCAGCTGCAGGCATAGGTGTTAATATTCTGTCCTCGTGTCCATCCCCCTCTCCCAGCTCGCGAACTTTGTCATGACATTGCAAATCTGGCGGTAATATAGGTACGCATGACGCCGGTGTCGATACTGAACTACCTGGGGTATCAGGGCTGAGAATATCTAGCTCCCAAGGTCTACTTGCATTAATAGTGCCTTTATATAAAATTATTTGATTTACATGTTTTTTTACAACAGTATTTAACAAGGAGTCTCGTATTAAGTATATGATTTTACCAAGTTTTTGTATAATTACGCCTTTACACCAATTGAACTTATTTTTATTCGAATATTTTTTATATAAAACATATTGTCCGGGTAAAAACATTTTTTCTTTCCCACCATGCGACTTAACCTGTGAACACTGTTTTGATCGGACTGTTTTAGCGAGTGAGGAAGACAGGGGCGGCGATGGTGCTGGCTTTAATATATCTAACCGCGATCTCAATTTACGACCAAAAACTATTTGCGCGGGAGATAAACCCGTCGTGGAATGGACCGAATTGCGGTAGTCGAAAATGTACTTTAAGAGATTTAAATTACATTCTCTAACATTATTGCTGCTCAACAAACTAGACTTAATACCCCTTTTTATTACCTTCACGTAGCTTTCAGCTTGTCCATTACTTGCCGGGTGGTAGGCAGGTGACGTGATATGCGTAATGCCGTTAAGATGACAAAAGTCTAAGAACTCCCGGGAGCAAAACGATGTTCCATTATCAGTCACTATAGTCTCTGGAAGACCGAACCTTGACATGAATTCATATAATTTATCTATAACTGCGATGGAAGCACAAGTAGTATTCATGCGGCAGACTTCGACCCATTTGGAGTACGCATCAACGATCACCAAATACATATGTCCGTTGATGGGGCCGAGAAAATCGAGGTGTATTCTTCGGAAAGGGTCAGCAGGATATTTCCACGGGGAAATATGTACGCGCGGTGGTGCTGCTCGTAGTTGCATGCATATTTCACAAGAGCCAATCATACGCTCAAGGACGCCGTCAATACCTGGAAACCAAAACCGAGAGCGAGCTTCGGCTTTAGTTTTAACAATACCCATATGTGATGTATGTAGCTCCGATATCACTCTATCACGTAACGATCCAGGGATAACTATTTTATGACCACGCATAAGGCAACCATTTTCATATGATAGTTCTAATTTGCATAAACTATAGGGTTTTATCTCTGGATCATTAACTTTTTTTGGCCATCCCTCTAAAACATAATGTATGACCTTTTTCATAATGCGATCTTTATTTATTGCATCACGTAACGCCTGTAGGGTTATTGGTATCGCGCCCTTAACAACGAAATTAACGTACGCTGCGCGGTCGTCGATATCGGCGGTTTCCGTGTAGCCCGCGTTTGAATCCCCGCCCGTGCCGCCACTGCTCGCATCGGCGTCCGGGAGGCTGAAACGCGACAAGTAGTCTGCTCTGTTATCCGAACTCTTAACATATTCTATCGTGTAATTATATCCGCTTAGAAATAAAGCATATCTCTGCAAACGGTTGGCCGATACCTCTGGAATTCCTTTGTATGGCCCAAAAATTGATAATAACGGTTTGTGATCCGTACGTAGAATAAAAGGCGTAGACCTACCATATAAATATTGGTGGAACCTCCGTACTCCAAATACGATAGCAGTAGCTTCTTTTTGTATTTGAGAATACCTTTTCTCGGCATTATTTAACGTCCGTGATGCAAACGAGAGTGGCTTTTCAATACCTGCACTATTTTTTTGCGATAATATCGCACCTAACCCGTTAGGTGACGCATCCACGGTTAGTATAATTGTTTCATTTGGATTAAAATGTGTTAAAACCTGTTCCGAGGATAATATTTTTCTTATATTGTCGAACGCTTCGTTTTCTACTTTAGACCATTTCCATTTTATTCCCTTTTTTAATAATTGGTAGAGGGGGGATAAAATAGATGATGCGTTTGGAACAAAACCCCGGTAATAATTGACGAGGCCTAAAAACGATTGTAATTGGTTAACATTTGTGGGGATTGGCGCTTCTAATATAGCTTTAACCTTTTCCGGTGACTTCTTTAAACCGTTTCTATTTATGACGTATCCCAGGTAACTTATTTCGTCTTTAAAAAAACTGCACTTATTTTTTTGCAACGTTAAGCCCGCGTCTTGTAATCTTTGTAGCACCTGGTGTAGCCTGTCTAGGTGCTCGGCATCGTCTTTGCCTGTTATCAGAATATCATCCAGTAAAAAATGTACTCCATTTAATCCTGCTAGTACATATTCCATTGCACGCTGGAAAATAGCCGGCGCACTAGCTAAGCCGAAAACTAAACGTGTATAAGAAAATAAACCCCGATGGGTATTGATACAGGTTAGCTTTTGAGATTCTTCATTTAGGCAAAATTGATTATACGCCATTGAGAGGTCAAGCTTAGTAAAGTATTGGCCCCCATGTAACTTAGAAAAAAGTTCATTAACTGTCGGCAATGGATATTGGTCTATAACTAACTGTTTGTTTAAGCTAACAGAATAATCTGCACATATTCTGACAGAGCCATCGCGTTTTAATACGGGTACGATTGGGGATGCGTATTCAGAATAACTAACCGGACGAAGTACCCCTAGATCGACCAACCTCTTTAGTTCGCTATCTATTTTATCCCTCAAGGCGAAAGCAATAGGACGCGCCTTAAAAAACAATGGCTTAACGTTCTCTTTCAAGGTTAACTTAATTTCATATTTATTGAAACACCCAAGTTCTCCCGAAAATACCTGAGGATAACGTATGTGTAGCGTTTCAATTTCATTCTGTATTTGCTTACAATAATGTATTGGCGTCAGTTGAAGTTCGAAACGTGCAATAAAATCCCTACCGAGCAGTGGCGGGCCGCCATTACGAACTACATAAACGTCCAGCATACACGTTTTGCCCCGCCACTGAAGCGACATCTGTACACGGCCGGCACAACCTAAAACTTCACCGGTATAACTCACTAATTTCTTTTTAGTGAACGATAATGGTATATCGTGGAAATGCAATTTATATGTTCTTTCCGATATCACAGTCACCGCCGATCCGCTATCGATTTGAAATTCTAAATCTATGCCATTGACAGTAACGGTTTCTACTAAAGGCTCGCCCCTAACTGATCGTATATTAAATATCTTACCGTCATCGCTGTCCTCGCCCACCTCACTCGTATTTACGTAATTCACCTTTTTGCACATTCTACGCAAGTGTCCTTTCATATTACACTTTTTACATCTGTAATTAGCGAAACGACACTCCGACGCACTGTGACTCGTATAACCGCATACCGCGCACTTTTGACGAGAACGCGCGCACTTCGAATCCTGACCAATTTTGTATAGCTGATCCGTGGTGGCATCGGTGACGACGGTGGTGGTGGCAGCGGCGCTGGCGGCAATCGCCCGCGCGCTTCGTACGTTCTCCGCTAGCTCAACAGCTTTTGATAATGTTATACCCGAAATATCTTGCGTATATAACTTTTCTTTTTCCACTCCTGGCAGCATACCCATAATAAACCGGTCCCTCAGTGCCTCCTCCACATTGGAAAATTGGCAGTGAACGGTTAGGCCGCGCAGTCTAGCGGCCCACTGCGATGGTGACTCGGTGGGCTGTTGGGTAGCGGCATAAAAATTGTGGCGCTCGCTAAATCCAACCTGCTTCGGTGTGAAATGAGTATCCAAGATGGTTAGGATATCCTCAAACGGAATTTGCTGGAGATCCTTTGGTACAGCGAGATCTGAGGCAAGCTTAAACGTACCATCGGCGAATGCGCTGAGCAGAATTGCTCGCCTTTTAACTCCTGCAGCATCATTTGACGCATTTATGTCGTTTGCAATAAACCATTGCGTAATTCTGGTTTTAAATATCTTCCACGATTGCAATTCATGGTTAAAAATTGGTAAGGGACCACAGCTTAACGACATTTTATTTTTGTAAAACGCGGGTAAGAATTCGTCGCCAATGTTATGTTCGCGGATACGGAGCGCAGGGGACTAGTTAAACACTCAACGGCTGTCGATGTACTGCTTTAATTGCATACATTATTATTGGGTGCGGACGCAGCCGTGCACAGGTATAATACACAACAGATATGTTTTGACTAACGCAAAAATTATGAAAGCTATAAAATAAATACAATTTTACTAAAATCGCAAAACGACGTTTGCGAAATGTACTCATGTGCTTGCTTGCATAGACATTAAAACAGTTGAATATAAAAGTGTGCCATCTTTTATGTTAAAATTTTAACGTAGGCGTTTCACGTGTTTTAAGTCATGATACAATTATATTTCGGGTGAATTTATTTAGTTCTTAGTTTTCTCCGGCTTCTCTCTATATTAATAAATCATTCATTCGAAATATATGAAAGTTTTAAGGTATACTTCGTAAAAATATTGTCAAGAATTTTCTAAAATAAGAAGTTTCGACATTTTTTTTTTACTTAATTGTGATGGAACTCGAAAAAAGGGTGATATTTTTGACTGGTGGCTCCATTTTTATGTCCGTTTGATCTGCTTATTATATCTTAATAGATTTTTCGTAAGCACATAATTGATTTGAATTTCACATAAAATAAATATGACGGACAGGAACCTTCGAAAACTTTAAGCTTAAAAACATTTATATGCAAATATATTATGTTTGGTATCACAAGAAAGGTAGCAAGCGTATTCCAAATATATAAAATTCGTATTTGAAATATATCTTTTATTAATTCGATTAGTAAACTGAAGTGACAATCGGCTGACCATATAGTTGGAAGAACCGACAACCGATGGGAAAGATAGGTTCTCGAGTGACTGCTTTGTTCCGATATGCGGAATGTAGATTATTGCCTCACGAGATTGAATGAACATCTGGTACGACAAGCACGCTAAGGACTATGTTTTGTAGCGTTCCTTAGGAGAGGCCCAGCAGTGGATTTGTCAAGAGCTGCAATGATGGTGATGAGAGGTATGTCATACATTTTATTGTTAAAAAAATTAATAAAAATAGTTTTAAAAGGGTTTTTATAATATTAAAGAATACGTTAATGATAAGAACCTGGAAATTAAGTGATCGCTACCATGTTGGTTCTATTATACACAAACACTCACGCTTGTCACCCAGAGGGGTAGGCAGAGACTACTGACTTCCATTTGGCGCGATCCTTACGCACCTCTCTCGCCTCCTTTACATCCATATATCTACGCATACACGCTCGTCGGTTAAGGGTACTCCTAATCTGGCCCATTTTTAATGTATCGCCGATTTGGTCGATAGACCTTCGTCTAGGTCGTCCCTTCCCGACCCTGCCGTTCACTTCTGCAAATTTTTGCATAGAAATAAATAAATAAATAATAGAGCAAATTTTTGGGTTCTATTATAATTCATACAAATAGTTGTTGAAAATAATTGTAAAATGTTGCTTAAAAACAATCTAGCTTGGTTTCTTGCTGGTTCCCAGGATTTTTGTTTGACTTTCAGTAATTATGATGCAATAATCTATATTGAATAAAATATTTTATTGGACCAATTGGGTGTAAGGACACATAGATTAGAATGGAACCTTCTGTACCAGTTTTGTACGTGGAAGAGCCATGCTGCAGCTATATTAGCAGTATAGTTGTTGCACGAATGGGTTGGCTCGACCCAGGAAGGATAACGCTCTCACAGAATATCAGCGTAAAATAGCAGCTTAACGCTGCTTTTTTTCGTATGGTAATTGTAGAGAACCGGAAACCCTTTTTACGGGAAATGAGGCATTCCATTTTAGTCCTCACGGGTGAAAGCGCATCTGCATTTTGATTCATAATCGAGGATAGATCTAGATATCTATGGCCCACAGCAATCACTTACCATCAGGTGGACTGTGTGCTCGTTTGTCACCCATATCCTATTAATAAAAATGTAATTTCTATTAGTCAACTGTCTCATTAGCCTATATATATTTTGACCTTATTACAAAATGTAGTATGTATTATGTATATTAGTCTCAAGTTTATACTAGAATCTGTTAACCGTGGAAATATGCGAACTAAAATATTAAGTTAACACGCGCAATTCCGGACCGATACGACTTAGGGACCTTCAAGAAAAGAGCCTACTCCTTTTTAAAAGGCCGGCAACGCATCTGCAATTCCCCTGGTGTTGCAGTTGTTTATGGGCGGCGGTAGTCACTTACCATCAGGTGAGCCGCATGTTCGTTTGCCCCCTCTCATATAAAAAAAAATCAAAACTTGCTGTTCCAAAGTACAGACACCATAAAACTAGTAGCAAATTTTTATAAACTATTTACAAAATTCCGTGTAATGTTACTGATTTGAAACGATATAATAAGCTTACTTAGACTTGATTTTGCATGTAAATATATTTTATAAGATTATATTGTTACTGTTGTAAAGAAAAAAGTGTGAGTTGCTTGCCGCTTCTTCTGAAAATGTCCACGCAGCAGAGACTTGTTGAAGCGATGGCATAGCGTTTGAATTTCAACAAATGCTTTGTTAAAGCAATTTGAATAAAAGTATTTGACTTTACTTTGAAGTATCGAATTCAATAGCAAGCAAATGTAAAATTTTGCGCTATGGTACCGCAGTTTAGGCACAGTACAGGGAAATAAGGATAGCAATGTCCCCAGCTATGGGACATATGGTCTGTTACTTTATTTTATTTACAATTAACTTTAATACTATAACGCATAATTAACACGAAAATAACCTTCAAAGAACGATTTAATAAAACCATATAAATAAATGGCTCCGACTTGTGATGTTTGATAATAAGGCTAGATTATACAAAATAACCCTCGAGCAGGAAAATTGTTTCCGCCTCTTAGTGATAAGTGGCTTACATTTACATAATAAACAGATTTAAACTGATAAAACATAAATAGATTTCAGAGTAAAGACCTGTATTCAAATGTTAAACAGGAGCATTTTTTAAAAAAAGTGACAAACTTACACTCCACCTGATCATAAGTGGTGGATGTTTGAAGTTTGCTGTCAGAGAGTGATTCTTCTGTTTTTGTACTATTATTTATTATGTGGTAATAGTATGATTTTAGGAATCATCAAATACTTTTGTTCGATAAAAAATATTGATTCTTTGTATATCTTATTGCAACACATGCCGAGTATAGCCAGACTATTAAAATTGAGATATTTACTAAAAATAAATCTATATAGCAGTTTTGATAAAAGAAAATAAAAATTGAATTATATATAAAACATTTTAAAATATTATGCCTTACTTATAAAGCCGTTCGTTATTTAATACCAATCACTTGTTATTAATCCTTATTATGAAAATAAATACATTTTGAATAATAGAAATCAATGATGAACATTAAAAGTGTGATCATTCTAATACAACTTACAGCGAAGCGTCGATCAATACGGGCGTGTTGAAGCAACTGGGTGGGTAGGTTTATAAGCAATCCACTTTTAGGGCATTCAAGCTGCCCGTGAATCATAAACTATTCAAGTTGATGAAGCGTAGTAACTGTCGTAATCGAACCGAGTTAGGGATTAAACACGTTGAGACGGTTACGGTGCTTTGCTTTAATTAGCTTCCAATTTAAAAAGGCTACTATAAATGCGATGAAGTAGGTTTTTAGTTCGTATTGTTTAGTAATATACTAGAGATGGAAATACAGTTTTTGGTTTGTGTTATATTTGGCATTGATTCGGTTCGGTAGACAACCACTGCTCTCAACCTCTTAAACCTCTAAAAGCGTACGCGAGCAGCCTGGGTTCGATCCCCGCCGTCGCGTTTTTACTATAAGAGCTGATTGTAATGTAAAGTGCTGACTTAGCAAGTGCTTGTCTGTAGAGTAAAACATCGTAAGATAACCTGTTTGTATAAGAAATTATTGATTCACGCATTGGTAGATTGATGATTGGAGTAGCGAGGAGGACTTAATGCTTCATAGCCCTCTCAATAAATGAGAGGAGGCCTCTTTCCCTAGTCAACTACAGTTTACTTTTGTATTTTATTATTTCTATGAACAAAAATAAACGAAATAAATAATCACGTACGTAATATATGATGGGGTGACAAGAACAAGTTTGCATATATGTGGATATTTTTTTGATAGTTAAAATGTTATGTTTTACTCTATGTAGGTGTTATTGAGTTCGAACATTTCATTCCGAACATTCATTGTGTATTCCTCTCCTTTCTGATATTTTAGCCTAAATTCTATTTCCTAAACTAAATTTCTAACTTTCAAATTATTATAGTTAGTATTTAGTTTAGTTTTTACATATTTTTCTTGTGTGCTAAGCGTTGGAATATAGATAGACAATCACCGGTTAACAAGCCGGGTTAATTGTATGGGAGAATTTTAAATCCTCCCATACAAAGCCTTAAGTTTTACGATTGAGATTTAAATAAAAAGATTTTATCTTTTAATAATTCGCTTCATACAAGATGTATCTAACATATAATATTTAAAATTTTAAAGAAAAAAATTATCCACAAATTCAATATAACGTACAGATATGGAACTGTCTAGAAATTAAGCCAAGTTAACGTCTTAATGTGGCTCCGACACAGTCAATATAATTTAAATTAGATTTCCGTGCCCTAAATAATTTTAATTAAAACTGTCTCCTCAGATTTCCTATAACAGTTGAAAGAAAATAAATTTATTATGAATATAGAAAACAGAATTTTAAATAAAAAATATTCGAATAATGAAATAGTATTTCCATGTTCACTGCAGCCTTTCTAAAAAAAGTGCCAGCTGTTAATTGAATAAATGTACAACTACCGTATACCGAGCTGCTAGCCTGCAGCCGTCACCATAACGGGAATGTATTAAAAATACTTTTCTTAAAGTGTAAGACCTACTATTTACTATGATATTACATTGTTGAGCATTTGTTAGTAAACGGTGCTATACATGTTGACTTGGTTTCCTTATACCTATTTGAGGTTTTTA